CCTCAGCTGCTCCCTCTTTCCATGTCCTCATCTCTGCCTCCATCTCTGGTATCACTGCTTCTCTGGTTAGGGTCCCACATTGTACTCATGCTCTTCTCTCTTGATGATCCTAGGGTCCTCTGTTAGCAGACTAATTTTTAAGTTGATAATTTTGTATGATCCATGAATGATGTCATAAATATCCAAATGGCCCTTGGCAGAAAAAAGGTTCCCCACCCCTGCTGTATAGGATTTCTGAGGAATGACTGGTAAGTTTGAACTGCTGACCTTGTGGTTCAAACTGACCTTGAAGTCTAGTGCTTATCCTACAGCATCACACCAGGACTCCTTCTTCAGCTTACAGAGGAGAAAATACATTCCCTGTTCCTCATGGTATAGTTAAGGGAATTTAGTCATCTACATGTTGTAAAGGAACAGAAAGTGTCTCAGTACTGCGCTCCCTCCAACAGAACGGTCACTGCTCACCTGCCTTCTTCCTCGTGTAAGATGTTTTCGTGCGCATGAAGCAAGAGGTAATATCCTAAGCCAAGAGCCCACACGGTACAAAATAAAATGAGCATGGCTGCGATGCTCTTCCAAACACAGTTACCTGAAAAAGAAGATAACCTGACACTGTTAATCATGGAATCCCATGCCAAGGAAAAAGGATCTTGGGACTCTCTGGGGATCTGCTTCGGCATAATACGTTTTCAGGAAAGGTAATTGGACAAGACTAATTTTTTTTAAGGGACAACGTAGCAGTTAAAGCACTAATTATAAACGTGTTGTTAAGTGCCATCGAGTCGGTTCCAACCCATAGTGACCCTGTATATAGGGTTTTCAAGGAGTAGTTAGTGGGTCTGAACTTCCAACCTTGTGGTTCAAACTAACCTTGCAGTCCAGCACATTATCCTGCAGCGCCACACCAGAACTTCAATTATAAACGTAAGTGGACATTTATTGCTTTCACTGCCCAGCATTTTCCCTTCCTATGATAAGTATCATGGCTTCCATCCCTCCCACACTCCACTCCACGTGTCCTGGTGAACTAAAACCTTAACCAGGCCAGTTAGCATATGCGATCCTATTAGCTACTGTAACATGGCTTAGAATGACGAATCAAGGCTAACAACTCAGTGCTGATAGTTTGGTGGAATTCTGGGGGAAGCAGACTGTTCTGTTGGACTCAGTGTTGTGATGGACACTTGGGTTTGCAAGGTCACCACGGACACTCATTTTCTGAACCCGGAAGTACAGTCACGGTAGAACTGGGAGGGAGGAAGAAGTTTACGTCATCTGTTCACCAGAACCTCTAACCTTTTCAGAAAGTATGCCAACAATTCCTTTTTAGCTCACCGCCAACTAGAACTGAGTTCTCTGTTGCTTGTAACTATCAGAGCTCTAACAGATGTACCTTAAAGAATTCAAAGTGCCAATACAAGGACCTCCTATGTCAACGGAAGTGGAATTTTTCTGACACCAGTCAAATTATTAGTCTTTATTTGAGGCCTGGTGTAGTGCTGAGGGTTAATGCACTGGACTGCAAAGTCATTTTGAACCGCAAAGCCAGTGGTTCGCGCTCACCAGCTGCTCCTCAGAAACCATATATGGGGTCACTCTGAGTTGGAACTGACTCAACGGCACCTAAAACAACAAAACTTTCAAGCCCTGCTGGTAAAAACTTTTTGAAGAAAATGATAAGTGATTTGTCAAAAATAATAGTCCTCATTAAAAAGAAACATGACTGAGCAATGTAAACTATCATTTTTTATTTTTTATGTTAGAAGACACAGTTGTATATTATAAAGATGTCTAACTTGTGGTTTGTAGATAATTTTTCAGGGCATAAAAAGTAAAACATCTACATTTTCCCCAACACTAAATTAGGCACCCTGAGGGTGATACAAACCAGTTATTCAAAGTGAATTTTTAACAAGTTACAAAAGGAATCCAGAGAGCAAGTTACTTAATAAACATAGTCTGTTATACAGTCATTCGTTCATTCAGCATACATTACGTTTCTAGCACATGCCTTGACATACGGAGTCTGTTGCTGTTGTTAAGTGTTCTTGAGTCGGTTTCAACTCATTGCGACTGTGTATAGGGTTTCTAAGGAGCAGCTGGTGGGTTTGAACTGCCGACCTTGTGGCTTGTAGTCCAGCGCTGATCCTACAGAGCCACACCAGTAGGCGAGGCTTGTGCAAAGAGGAACACATGAACTGGCCTTTCTGAGGTTTACAGCTTCATCGGAGGACATAATGAACTGCTGTAGATACTACGACAAACTTGATTAGGGCGAGCAACATACAGTAATGAAAAATCTAGAGATTTGTTTTAGGCATGATCAACAATTTCTGTATATAGGTGTTGAACAAATTCAAATTAGAATATGATTTTAAATGATTATGAGTTCTGGTGTGGCACTGTAGAATCAGCACTAGACTGCAAAACACAAGGTTCAAACCCCACTAGCTGCTCTTGAGAAACCTACACAGGGTCGCTATGAGTCAGAACTGACTCGACGGCACTTAACAGTTGCATAAACGACAATTCTCTTTGAAAGGAAGGGTAGGAGCAGCCCTAGCTACACAGTCTTATATACAATTCTAACCTAGGTCATCCTCTCTTGTCTTCAAGAGAATTTGGCAAGGGCTTGACATGTTAAGCTATTCTTTATCAATTTAAAATCCAAGACCTCTTACAGTTCATACCACAAAAGAGAAATGTTTGAGTCACGGCATTGATTACCCTGAAGTCATCCAGGCCTCAGAAGCCTCTCTTCCTCCTGGGATTTGGGCCAACTCTTCAGAAAGAGTGAAGCTGAAAGACTGACAGTTTGAACCCACTCAGAGGTGCTTCCCCGAAGCATTAAAGCCTTATGGAGCCATGAACCCCCTATGGAGCAGCTCTAGTAGTCGTGGGGGGGTGGGGGTGGGGTCACCAGGAGTTGAAATGCACTCAACAGCAACTAACAACAGCATTATAGAGATCAAGAGAGGCAAATCCTTTTCACACCTGGGCTAAGGAGGCTCCTAAGGCCATCTGATTTGATGTAGCTCCATTCAGAATCCAGGGTTCATACCTGTGACATGGGGGTAAAGTCCAACAAGCAGGGTCAGTCCAGCAGGAATTGTGTACACCATCTGTTAACAAGAAGAGGAAATACGCGGGTTAAGAAGTATGCCCAGTATATGAGATGTTCTGCGGAATTCAGGAGAGCTGCATTTTCCATGATTTACTCTAGGTTTCCGAGCCCTGGTGTGGCGCTGCAGGATAAAGCCTGGGACCACGAGGACAGTGTGAACCATGTGGTTGGTGGTGTACACTCACCAGCCGCTCCTAGGAAACCCTATACAGGGTCACTATGAGTCAAAAAAACAACAAACCCTTCCTATGTATGTAAGACTATGTAGCTAATACTGTTCCAACAGTCCTTTCAAAGAGCACTGTCTATTATGTAACTGGGGAAAAGGAGTTTTGGCCTGGAAATTGCTTGTGAGAGATTGCGGGGTCAGTGTGACTTAAGACCCAAACTCTATGCTCCAGAGCTAGAGTTCCAAGATGAATGAACGTTTTCAGTCTAGGAGGACAGCAGATAGAATGAACCCTAGACATGCTAAGTGGCATCGATGCAGTGGTTACTACTTCCTCAGTTTTACTGAAACCTAGAATTGTGGTCAGCAGTTTGAAACTACCAGCTGTTTCGTGGGAGAAAGATGAGGCTTTCTGCTCCCATAAAGATTTACAGCCTCAAACCCTGTGCAGGGTCACTATGGGTCGGAACCGACTCGACGGCACTTAACAACTACTACATATAAGAAAACAACTATATATATATATAGTCCTGGTGTGGCGCTGTGAGTTAATGCACTGGACTGCAAGGTCAGTTTGAATCATAAGGTCGGCGGAAACCCTACACAGGGTGGCTATGAGTCAGAGTCGACTTGATGGCACTTAACAACAATAGCAACAAGATAATATAAATAGTTGTTATTGTGTGCTGTCGAGTCAGTTCCTGTATGTTTCTGAGAAGTTGCTGGCAAGTTTGAAACTCCAAACTTGCCCTTAGCAGTCTAGTGCTTATCCTGTTGTTAAGTGCCAACAAATTGGTTCCAACTCACAGTGACCTGGGATAGGGCTTCCAAGGAATGACTTCTGGGTTTAAACCTGTTAGCAATTCAATGCTTACCTTACAACTATAAGGTCAGT